GATCTTAGCAGCTGATGGCAGAGACAGAGACATGGTACCTCCTCACCCAGAGCAGACATAAGCATTCACATGATAAACTTGCTTGCCTTACACGCCTTTAACTATTGGTGATTTACTTAATCAGGTCTCACAAAGAAGAGAATTAAACCCATGGCTATTAGAAACAATGACTGCTTTTTAATAGAGACAATAATTTTGCCCAGGCTGGTTGAATCCATTCACTGTCTCTGATTTCCCTCTGGCTGTATATTGCAGTCACACTCTCACTTTGCTTCTGCAAGGTCTTTTTATCAAATTAAAACCACTGCAACCTCACTCCTTAACTCTGCCAAGCAAACAGCATGACCCTATTCATTAGAGTTTGGGAGCTATTCATACACAGAGTAGCAAATTTATACAAAGAGTAGCAAATTCACCATCTATAAAAAAAATAAGGCATCCCAAAATTGGGGGAGTTACTCAAAGTTTTACTCTGCTGGCAATAGAAATATATTATGAAGTGAAAACTACCATTTAAATAAGGAAGACAGGCAGCCAGCTAGGCAGAGACATTAAAGGGAGACAAATTCTGAAGCCCTTGTCAAACTCACCAAAGCAGCAGCAGCAGCACTGGAGCACTCAGGGCCAGGCTATGGTATCACACTTCCACGGACTGAAGAGAGCAAGTCCACATTAGGACAGACAATATTCAGCTCAAAAAGCAGGACACACTTTGGCATCAGGGCTTTCCCCATGAACAACACTCATTTAAATGAGACAAATCTTTCAATCTGTGTCACGGGTATATTTTAAATGGTAAATCACAGACACATTTTCCGGCCAGAGTACCATAAAATTCCTATTAACTACCATTTGCTTCAGCTGTGATCTCAGTACTAACTCTTCAATAATCTCAGAATATTCTATACACATTTTTCCTCTTGAATGTTGAGATATCATGACTGTCAGTAACCAAATCCAGGGTCATGGGATATTTTCTTTGAACAAGAATACATTTTGCTGTGGATATAGCTCAATTCTGAACTCTGGTAGCTCTGGGATGAGTTAGTAAGAATAAGGAAGTTGAAACATTTCCCTAGGTTCCCATGGGAACACAACACCTCCAAATCTGGACAGTTTCAAGATACTGGGTTAAACACTTATTAAAACATAACTAAAAAGGCTATTCCTGAACATTTCAGCAGCTTCCCAGTTACTATTCACTGGGTTCACTCAGGGCACAGAGAACCATTAAAGCATGGGGGAACTTGGGATAAAGCATACAAGTGAGGCCCAGGACACAGGGAAAACACTGGGAAGGAGCCTGAGGAGCTGGAATGTTTGAACATTGAGATAGAGTGTTTAGGAATGGAATGGGAGTGACACTCATCAGTGCTTATTGCATAATGTGTATTTATTAGTGCTTTACTGCACTCTTCACACTGTGTTTTCCAACACTTCCTGCTGCCTGCCATGGGTTTGTCCAGCCACTCACAACTCCAGCCAACCACACCTGCTAAGGGAAATACCTTCTGTAGTTCAATAGGAGTTATGTGGGGAGAAGTTTGTCATTAATTTGTGCTAAAGAAATTCTGCCTTGAAGAAGAGGAAAGGATTCCAGGAAGAAAGGCAAAAGGTGGTGCATTGGTGGACTTGGCACTGCTGGGGAAATGGTCAGGCCTGATGGTCTTTTCCAAGCTGAATGACTCTGTACAGATTCCTGAACATGAACAACTGCATTCCATCTCTCCCTATGTTTTCGATATGCATCAGGACCTGCAGCCCAAACCAGAACTTGTTGATGTCCACAAGATGCTTTTTTAAATTACCATTTCATTCCTCTCCAGTGACTAGACTATGGAGCAGATCCTGTCTTCTCAGGATCACAGATCTGTTAGCAACAATTACAACAGACCAATTGCAATCTAACCAAAAAGCTGATGGAAATAGAATTCTTTTGAAACTAAAAATATCATGGGCTCTTAAATGGAATAGCAAGAAAGGCTTGGTGAGCATTAAACAAACAGATGAGATTAAGAATGTGTTAGACACTTACAACACTGTATCCAAATGTACCCTATTAATAGAAAGATTTCTCAATTGCACTGATTTTTAAAGAAACAAATCCCTGAAGATAAAATAAGCAGACTAATAGAATTATATCAACTGTGCTATTTTTCAAAAACCAGGAAGAAAAATAAAATGAGAACTTAATCTAGAAAACCACTGGGATAACATAAACTAGGAAAATACAGATTCAGACAGTAAGAGAAGCTGTGCTTCAATTAAAGTCTTTGATTTTTCAAGATAAGTACAGTGGAAAATGAAAATTTTCTGCCTTTTTTTTAAATTTCTTTAGGAAATAATCTCTTTCTTCTCTGTTTCTACCCAAAGTACCAGAAAACACACCCCAAAAAGAAACAAAACACTGTTACCTCACTGGACACAAGCTTTTCTCCCATCCCAGGAATCAGAATTGCTTGTATCCATTACTTCATCCATACTGTACTTTAAATGTGCTGCTGCTATAGTGCTCTAACATTTCAATTTGCTTGTTCTATTTTCAACATTTCCTTTAAGTTCTTTACAAGAATATACAAAGGAAGAAAAGTGTTTACTGAATAAAACAAAGTCTATCCTCCTTCTAAACAAAACCTTCATTAATCTTGCATACACTTCAGTTTCTTATTGTATAGAAAACAAAAATAAATCCTATAGGTGTCTGGAAGGGTATCCTGCAATGAGGAACTTCATGATATTTATTTAATTTCTTAGACTGAAAATAAGTTTGGAACCAACACTTAATGTACCACCTTTTTGTAAGATGCAGACACAAACCAATCACCTTCAGAGATTGTTTATACTTAAAATTATTCCCTTGACTTAAAATATTAGCATCTTCATATATTGCATCTAGGAACATTTGACTGGAGAACAATCTGCATAGGAAAAACTATGGTAAAATGGATATATCCTGAAAGAAATTTCAAGAAAGCAAATTGCCACACCACATTCTTGGGTTCTTTAAGCTATAAGAGACTTATCACCAAGGTATTTCAGGATTTGATTACCAGCTGCAAAGAAAAAGAAACATGCTTTGGAACACATTTATCAGACATTATTTTACATAATTTTTTATTGATGAATTTTCAACAGCAGCCATCTTGCACCCTGTAAGTTCTTTAAAAGTCTATAAAAATTTGGCATCAGTTACAGTGTGCAAGAAGGAAAAGAAACAATCAAGAAACACTTAGCACTGAATATTTTCAGTGCACATTCTAACCCCAGGAAACAAAAGAACCATTCCTCTTGTGCTGCAGTTTGTCACCTTCCCAGCAGAGACTTGTAGATTTACACAGGAGGCGAGACAATCCCAATGCAATCTTAAAACATCTCAATCATCCAGTCTTTTTCCTTGATCCAACTTATCACTTATCCTCACAGATCACAGCAGTTTCACCTGGATGCTCTGTTTTCAATTTTTTCCGAGCTGGCTCTCCCAGAAGCAGGGCTGTGCAGTGCTCCAAGGACTGAGCAATTTCATCAATTGTCCACTTGTCTTCGTGCAGGGCGTGTTCCTCCAGCGTGAACGGCCCCTGCTTGGTGCGCGTCAGCTCCTGCACCGAGGCACAGGTGGAGAGCTCTGCAGCAAAGGAGGAAAGAGGCATTGGACAAAGTACATGGATAAACTTTCTAAGTGTAACCACTTCCAGCTCACTTAAAATGTATTTTTGTATGTAGCCTTTTATATTATTCTGCTTTGTTTGACAAGGAAGGTCATGAAGATTTATCACTCGTTTGTATCTTCTTAAATCTGACCCAAGGATGTCCTTTGATTTCAATAACTGTCCAGTGTAGTAAAGAGTTCAGAATCTGACAGAAAGCTGTCAAGAATTTTCCCAGATTTAGATCAGAATGGAAAGTGAGGAAAAAATGTCATAAGATGTAACCAGAACATTGTGCATTCTCAAGTGACCGTGAACTACTTTCCTACACATTCTGAGGCCTTAGCACTTCTTGCCTTCAAGAGGTATTTTTATTATTATCCTGTGCTGCCTATCAGGATAACAGAAACCAAGATAAGGAAAAATAAAAAAATATGTACAAATGCTCTCCTGTGTTAAATAAATACCAGCAGGACATAATTACATATCAAGAAGCTACAAAGCATAACAGCAACAAGCACTGACTTATAAACACACAGGTACACTAAAATATTCTTTCCCATCCTTTCTGATGCAGGAAGGTTTTCATTTCATTTTCAATTTTTGAAAAGAAGCCAGACATGGACAGACTTTATCTTAGTTTTCATTAAAGAGCTAAACATAAGCCAGTATGCTCAGAAGGCAGTAACAGAAATTTGGACTTGCCTAAGCACAAATAACAACATTGAAATTCATAGGGTTATCCCACATTACTTACCTTCCTACAAATGTATCATTTAAAAAAAAAGAAAAGTTAGAAATGGATTATCTATTCTCCATCATGCAGTTTGATAGATACAGAGCACAAGACAAATAACCCTGTGGGAAAGCAAAACTATTCACTGTTCAGGCAGAGAAAGAAAACACTCGAAAAATCATCACCAGTGTGGAAGTCTTTCCAGCAGATAGGGTTTATTATGTGCATGGTAATGTTGTGTGCAATCTGTTTTCAAAATGTGATGAATAATGTTTAAAAAGACAGTATCTTTCTTCTTCTCATCCTTAATCTGAGTTAGCTTTAACACATGAAAGAGAGGGGAAAAAACTCCCCCCCACCACTTGCCTTGCATTATCTTGCTCAGTGCTATTGCTTGCTCCATTTTTATCAGCTGGCCCCCAAGGTCCCTGGCAATTATTTAGCCATCATTCCCCCATGCCCCTAAGGAAATTACCTGAGTATATAAAAACAAGTGATAGCACTACAGTTCTGCAAAATAACACACAGGTCTAGTTACTTGAGATATACAGAATGACACATTTTTTCCATAAACACACATTTGTTCCTTATATTTTCATGCGGTTTTTTTCCATGCCTACCTTTGCCAATGTCATTGACCAGGCTCCTGACATAAAAGCCACCATCACATTCAACATCTGGAATGTTAAAAGAGACAAGGTAAATTGCCAGTGCCACGTGAAATCTACTTTACATAGAAGCCATGCCCCCACATAAATGTAAAAATGCGCTAAGCAAACAACCCAGTGATAAAATATTTATAGGATGCAACATCAATTATTCATCCTGGAACATATGTGAGGGTGAAATTGCTAAGCTAGACAGGAGGGAAAGCAAATAAAATGGCAACTGTACTAACTCACCAGAATTTAAGTACCTGCTATAGTATGTTAAGAAATGTTTCAGCCCTATTCATTTTAAGCATTTCAGGTTGATTCCATATTTCTCAAGATGAAAGCAAGTTATTTCAAGTATAGCCTAAACTGACTGTCAGATACTGCAGACAGGCAGCTCCATTAAAATTTTAAAATTCAACTTTAATTTTCCCTGCTCTCTCAGCCCTTCCCTTCCCTCTCTGCCAGTGATCAGTGCCTGTCACCCAACCATAAAGTAAGGGCTGAAGTCACACAGCACTGAGTTCTGTCAGTCATACCTGCTCCTCATAAAACATCTGCTCTATCACAGGACTGGGGATCAACTGGGCAGACAGATCAATGCAAGGCATCATCTTGACCTTACAGTAGCATTAAACATTTACAAGTCTTTTCTGGTTTATTTATTAATATGTTTCTTAATGTACTACCCAAGTTTCTTGATGAATGACAGAAGGAAGGATAAGATCCTGCCTCCTCAACAAGAAAGGAGTCTGACAATAACTGAAACTGATCCTGGAAGAGATGCCAGCAGGTCTGGGAATCTGTGTGAAAGAATGGCAAAGTGAAGTAAGCAGACCTGAGAGAGGAATGAGCTGGAGGTTGCAAAACCATGGACAGATGCAAATAATCCCCTGACCAGTCTCTCAGAATTTTGCCTCACTGAGAGATTAGATATAATCAGCTTAACTTAAAACCAAAATACGGTGCTTTTAATACAAAGTGAAAGTCTCTGCACATGGGCTCACACCAAAATAAGTAGCTGAGTGAAATGAAACCCATTTGGCTCTCTTAGTCCCATTCTGTGTAAATAAACATTAACAAGCTGGGAGCATTGCTCTATGTAATAATCTTTGACCTTTACCCAGCGTGAACAGTGGTGGCTGGAACTGCTGGAGAGAAAGGCTGTACACTCTCACTGGCCGAGCAGGCTTTGCTTCTACTGCTTTCCCTCTCTTCATCAGAGTTGAAAGCCTTTCTCCATCCTTCTTCAAAGCAGAATAGCTGATCAGACAGAGCATGAAAACATGTGTCACAGGGTTGTAACAGAACAGGCTTCCCATTCTCCAGATCCTGGTAATATTGTACTAGGGTAGCACACATTTTACAACTCTCCAAGTACTCACAAAAACCCACAAAAAACAGCAAGTGCTGCTGAAATCTCTTGGACACAGAATCATCCCATTTACCAGTAGCTACATAAACCAGAAAACAAGAGATGGCCTTGTATTTCTCTCTTGCTGTACGGATTTAAAAGCATTTTATCACTCACTTTGCAGTTTATGAAATAAAAGGGTTTCTAGAAGGGTTACAACACTTTCAGCTGCCTCTAACATCCCATGTCTCAGCAGTCAGCAGGGCATCCTCTGTCTCAGTGTTATGTTGAGCTGAGCACTGGGAGCCACTCAGGCAACTCCTGTAATCCTACATTGCACCTTTCCTTGCCCACACCAGGGTCTTTCCTGAACAGCAGTTGCCATGTTCTAGGATGTTTAGGGAACCACTACTGAACCACAGAGACTGATTTCACTGATTATGTGGAACTTTATCCAAAGCTCCAATTTTGGTCACAACAGAAAGATGACCACAGAAAAATCCAAAAGGATCTCGCTGACAATATTAGAGGGCAATTTGAAACAGGTCACATGAAATAGAACACGTGGAGCATTAGTGACCTTACAGGAACGCTGGAACCACAGTAAGTGACACATGGCAAATGCAAAGGAAATCAGGCTAGCTTAAACCACCATAAAAGCCATCTGTCACAAGCTAAGTCATGCACACTGCCAGCTACTGTGGCTCACCTGACCAGAAGAAATTTGCTAAACTACAGAAGCTCAATCATCATTCACTCATTCATACTCTAAGTTTTTTGAAAACTAATTCAAAGTCATTTAAGGCACTTCCACAGAGATGTCAGTCAGTTTGGAAGACAGAAGATGAGCCCTGCAAAGCTGTTTCAGACTTTTGCTACTTTACATTTACCCAAAACACCCACAGACTCCAGATCACCATTTGCAAATGTTAAACTCCTGACTGCCTGGCCTCCATCCTCTTGTCAAAATGTGTCATAATACTTCTGAGAGAGCTGACTTCTGCTGGCAAGTCCGGACAGCCGAACACAACTGCCAAGAGTGAGTGAACATCATGGAACTTACAGTGGGGGAACTTGCATAATGTCCCCTGTGAACTTTTGAAGAACATTTTCAAGATCTCCTTTCGTTACTTGGTCTGTGGAAAGAAAACAATCAGTATGTTAGTATTGATTATTCACATGGCACTAATGGCATCAATCACATTCTGCAAGCAGACACAAATAAGAGTTCCCTCCATTCAGAATTTAGATGGGGTGAAAAACACCAAAGAAAAGAGATAAAAACCAGATTGTAGGCAGGAATGTGAATTACCACAAAAGGAGTGGAATAAACTGTCCAAGGTGATCAGGACAATCTGGATACTTTCAGAAGGGCAGAAATCCTCCTTAATGTTTTCTTTTCTAATTCCCCTCTCTTGAGGCTGCAAACTCATCTTTCTTGGAAACTATATAAAAGCTACAACATTTGGAATATTCTTATTTTTTAAAAAAACACCAAAAAGAATAAAATGCTCATCTAACCCTGGGAACTTCTCTCAAAGAGAACCTAACTGCAGGGAAAAATACAACAGATCATTAGAGAACAAAACCACTGGTTTAGAAAAAGACTTTATCTGAAACAACACATCAAAATTTCCCTGTCAAACAACTAACCTGCAAATGTACTCTGGGGTATAGTTATATATTAAGTAAGGTAGTTTTACTAACAAAATTCTGTAAAAGAAAAACAGCTGGTTTAGACAATGTACTTTCTTTTAAGAGTACACATAGACATCTGTCCCGCTTTTATTGGAAGACTATAACCTAAGTAGCTGATTGCACTGGTCTTCTGGAGCTCTATTCAACAGAAATTACATTCATCCCTAATTTTTTCAGAGAGTGCAAACATAAGATCTGTAATCACATGCACTTCAGTGCATTTCTACTGTCTGGGGTTTGATTAGCCCTGTTTCTCATAAGTAATATTAAATTAGTGTCATCCCTGCTAAGTCAACAGCATTCTGGAACATAAACCAACCAAATTTATTTATCAAGCCTTCACTGTATTTTGAAACAGACATTTACTTGCAAACCTTAAAAGCCAGATGTACTTCATGCTGTAAGTAAAAAAGATGAGATTTCTTTTCACAGCAGCTCTGGGAGATGATCCTGTGGTTCCTCACTTCTATAAAGCACTCTGCAGCCTCAAGAGCAGATGCTGTCCCTAGGCCCAAGCAGCTGTCCCAAGATGTGTTATTAACAGCAAGGTTGCAAAGCACAAGGCACAAAGAGAGACCAATTTACATCAGAATACAGGCTAGGAACAACAAAATCAATTGTACAGCAACTCTGAACCTTCTGAAGAGTTTCTTGAATGGTTATTTCAATCTTGGTTCTATTTAGCAACATATCACAATAAAACTACATGGTGAAAGTCAGCATGACCCAGCCCCATGACAGTGATCCTGTCAGCCTTCTTGTGAACTCCAGGCTGCTTCAGGTTAAAATTCAGTATTTCAGATGCAAGCACAAGTGCCCCTTGCAGTTCTCCTTCCAATCTTCCCTCCATGAACTGCATTTGTGGCCAGAGCATTTGATGAGTTCAGTTCTGGCTCTGATCTCATATTCCCTTGACTAAGAGTCTTGTGAACTCCAGGCTGCTTCAGGTTAAAATTCAGTATTTCAGATGTAAGCACCCTTTAAGATGTAAGTGCCCCTTGGAGTTCTCCTTCCAGTCTCCACTCCATGAACTGCATTTGATCTCATATTCCTTTGACTAAGATGTTACATGTGGCCTCTGAGGAAGTCACTCATGATACAGGCAAGCTCTGTCTCAGGAGAAAAAAAAAATCCCCATGTGAAGAATGATGCATTAACAAACAAGAGTTGTGTCATGTGTTATCAAAGTAAATATTTACATATGATGCATTTGCTAAGATCTGATGTGCTTTTGAGCACTGGTGACTATTGACTGATTTTCCTGCTACAGAGGAAGGAAAATAAAGTTACCAAACCAAAAAAAAAAAGTGCCATTTGTGCCACAACCTCAAAAAGCCTTCACCAAAGGGTGATTCTGCCCTGTGCATGTTAACAAACTACTCCAAAAGAGAACATGAAGAATTATCTGTGATAGAGTACCAGAAGTTTAGCAAATGACCTCAATTCAGTCTGACCCAGCACAAATTATTTGAAAACAGACAAGCAGAATCCTGAAAGGACTACACTTTCCAAAAGATTCAGGTAGCTCTATTAAACATATATTTCAGCATAATCATCAGAGACCTGAGAAAAGCCTCATTAATTTTGCTCTCCAAGTCTGGATATAGCCTATAGGCAGCTGGGAGGAAGTGGCTTTCAGAACGTACATTCCTGTACACAGTTAGAAATATTAAAAAAGGGCTACTAACACTAATGTGCTCAAAAAGCATCAGAGGAATACTAAATGCTACTTGCTTCCAAGTGAGCATCTGACAGCCTGGCAGCAGTATGAAACCATAACCTATTTTCCCATGGAAATGCAAACTTGTGGTAAGAAACAAAAAGCTATGAGAAGCTCAGGAGGGGTTAAAAGCAAGGAACTCTCTTCAGTACATCCTGACATTGTGACTGACTGTACAGTTTGCTTCCTAAGTTGCTGTCTAGGGACACTTTGAGGACTAAAAGGTAACACTTCCTTACAGTTAATATAGCTGGCAACTTTCTGCAGGCACTTTGCTCTTATGTTCCAATGAAGTCACTCAAGAAGAGTTTTATACATTTTACAAACTGGTTTAGTGCCCTTTCTCTGCACTAAGGCCCAATCCTGGATGATGTTGGCACTGCAGGATTTATATTCCCTTGCTCTGCTTCTCCAAGGATCCTTGTAGGTGTCAAAAGAAAACTGAAATTCAACTCAAACATTTGGTTTGCCTTTTCTTATACCTATGAGGGTTAGAAATTAGGGATGGTGGGCCAAAGAGAGCATCCTTCAGAAAACCAAACTGTTTTGGAGAAGACACTGAAAAAGATGACAAATACAAAACATGCAGGTACCGTGGAGAGCAAAAAAGGAGTATCTATCTTCTTCTCTTTCTGAAGAAATCACATCTGACTGATTTGCAGCAACATGGAAAGCAACTGAGACCAATGTCATGAGCATTTCCTTCAGCCATCACTGAAGGCAAAAGGAAACTGCACCCCAAACTGCACTGCCCAGCAGTGCCAATGCTGCTCTTCATCAGGCCATGTGATGAACTGGATCCTGCAACTGACGTCAGTTTAAAATGACAAACAACTGAAAAAAAGGGGGTGTTTTTAAGCCAAATCAGTTCCCCAAGCCTAAGAAACAACCACAGAAAGCACACACCACAACAGAGGTGGTACAGAGGCGGGAACTGCTGTAACAGGAGCTGCCAGGGAGAGAAACACACACAAAAACAAGGCTCTAAATTCCGTTTGCAGTTAACAACACAAAACGAAAACAGCAAAACTAGTGTTTCAAAAACCAGATTTTTATACAGATAAATACCAAGAAAGTGAATCATCACTTCATTCAAGCACCATGAGGTATTGGCAACTCTATCACCATGTGGATGCTCAGGCCTCCAGAAGCTGAGAGACTCAGAGCTTGATCCTGAAGCATAAATAAATGATCCAACATCTCTGAATAACACTGCCTAGTAGTAATTAACACTATTTAGAATGTGGACAAGAAACTCATGCTTGCCTGCCTCATGAGAAAAGGAAAACTGCAAAAGAAAAGAGATTGGAAGTGAGAAATGAAATCCAGGCTTTTCATCACACCATTACAAAAGATTATTTACTTCATGTACCTGTTACCAGGTATAAAGAATGTCAGACGTGTAGGGTTGCTAAGCAACAGGTTACCTATTATTTTTTAATTTTTTTCCCCAAGGTTGTGAAAGAACTAATAACAAATATATTTACTGTGTTACTACACTGTTTCTAAGATGCCCAGCAAAACTACAGTCAGGATGAGTTCTGAAGCTTTATATCCTTGCCCTGTGCTCTGTCAGTCAGAAAATTTCATTTATTAAAGATGTAAGCAAGACCAAGAACTGGAAGATAGCCATATGTAGAAGGTAGTTTATGCCATCCTCATTAAATGTTAAGCAGCCTGTAGGTGAAGTGGTGTCCTAGAGGGAAGATCCAAGTACTTTATTCCTCCACTGGCCTTAAAGGGTTTTACTAAAAGAGGACTCCTGGGACTACACTCTGAGAGAGGAAAATGTTACTGGACACAGCACGTCATTTGTCAGCCTGTCAAAGATTTAAAATGACACAGTCCTGCCCAATTCTATTTCCTCCCTCCTAATCTAATGGCTGGTTTGTTTTTTTCCAGCAGAAATGAACACTTGCGTTGGACATAATTGCATGAAGCTGGTTTGAATTATATGAGCACTGAAGTTGAAGATGAAATAATCTTAGTTTAATTTCACATTTAAACTTAATTCAGAGTCCCAAACATCTCTTCCGCTTTCCTATGACAGAAACCACTTATGTCTTTAAATGACATTGAGTGTATAGATACATTTATGCTTACCATAAGGTTTTTCTTCAGTTACTTTTCCTGTAGCATCTAATGTATCAGTGGCCTTGCCCAGCATTCCAATGGCAGTGTACTTCTGGGAAGGAATAAGAGAGATTACTGAGTCAAGTCTTCAAGGTTGTTTCTTAGGTTTTTTTTTCTTTTTTCTTATTTTTTTTAAGATAAAGACTGCAACCACCCATTAATTCAAATCAGAACAGGAAGAATACTGTCTAAGTGGTAAAGCCAGCAACCCTGGGTAAGCAAAAGTCAAGATAAAAATACATGAAATCAAACAAAAATTAAATCCTGTATTACATGTGCCTGTGATTTCAGTTTTAGAAACCCAAGGAAGAAGCAACATGGAATCTAATTTTTACTATAAATACATCAATACCATGAAGAAAATAATAGGGGAGTAACATCAAAGTCTCTGTGGGGTGTCATATGTCATGGTTGAAGCAAAGCACAGAGGAGTACCTTTCACAGACAATTTTTCTGTTCCTTTGCACATTAAAAAAAAAAAAAAAAGACACAAAGACCTTCACTTGTGAAATCAAAACACCCACTGCCAAGACAAAGCATTACAATGGTTCTGCCATGAAATGCAGAACTGATGCTGCAGTTTTGAATTTCTGAGATCCGGTAAGGACCCTGTGACCAGCACAAGGAGTTCAAGGTCATTGAATAACACTTATATTCATTGTGAGTTCTCTGAATATTTGTTTCAGGGTTTTTCAGGGTTCTTCTCTAAAAAATTCTTCAGTTTATACGCCTGTAATTTGCAAGAAGGAATCAACTTGACTCCAGGACAGCAGCTCTTGTCCTTACATTTCACCTGATGCCCTCCTTTCCCACGTTTTCACCCTAAGAACTGCCAAGCTCTGAGCATACAGCACGACCTGCTGAAGCTGACAGAGGCTTCCCCTGCACCAGCTGCTCCATGACCTGTCACAAGGCTGTCAACACACCAAGGCTCACTCTGAAACATGATCTGAGTCAAGTTTAGGGATACCATCAAGTATTACATCAATGGTTTGACCCATTGCCTATCCCATTCCAGTCCCCTCAACTTCCCTATGGTAAATCCACAGGCCTTCAAATAAAGCCTGGAAGAGAAAAATCGAAGTGTTCCTCTATTTCCCAGTAAGGTTCTAGTGAAATTACTCCCAGCTGAACTAATACAAATCTGAGGATGTATCTTCTAGAAGCTGGCTGACCAAACTCTACTGGAACACATCCAAACAGACATAAGCACTAACATTTTACTGTGAGATGCAATGCATCCTGCTTCATGTACTTGCAAAGTACAAACAAGCTCAAGTAATAGCAGTGTAGGCATATAAATCACACCCACACCACTGGACTAGTAAGACATGCCTTGATTTTGTTCCATGTGACAACCTGCCACTTCAATGGATTTCTTCAAGCAACTGCTGCAAAATGGAAGCAGCAGAAATAGTCAGATAAAATGCAGCAGAGTGCAGACTTTAACATAAAAATAACTGTATTCTTTGATTACTTCATGTGCTGGGTTGAGCTGGGAATACAGAGAATTTTCTTTATAATAGCTGGGATGAGACTATGCTTTGGATATATGCTGAAAACAGTGTTGATAACATAGATGTTTCCATTACACTTATTAAACTGCCTTTATCACAACCCTTGAGTTTCACCTTTTTTCTCATTCTGTCCCCATCCCACTCCAAGGAGTGAGCAAACAGCTGTGTGGTGTTTTAGCTGCCTGCCAGGTTTAATCACAACACCACATTAGGGCTACACTTTCCCTAAATATTGCAGATGTCTGATAACTCTGCAAAATTAGGTATTTTAAAATAAAATTCTTCAAGTTTACACACTTCTGGAATGCATGAAAAAAGAAACTAAAGAAAGAATGGATGAACGCTGCTCCACAACAAATACTTAAATAAACTTTAAGGTACATTATCTTTTACTACTATATTAGCTGTTAGGACAATAAAATTGACTACTTTCTGAGACATTTAATGATCTGGTTCTGAACATTTAATTGTACTGCCAGAAATACACTATTCAGCACCTAACCTAGAGGTTAATAAAAACACGTGACCAGATCATCATTATCCTAAGCATGATGAATGATCTTAGCTGTTCAGTAAAATTCTAAATCTGAAAATTTAAAAACTCACACTGTCTTCTGATGTTTCCAAATCAAAATACTCATACTACTTCAGCTTAAATTACTTCTTTTCCTTTAACTCTGGTTTTGGTTATCTTGCTTTAGGCTATCTGTTACAATAACATGTTGTATTTGATCTGCCAGCAATAGAGAGATAATGTCTCATCTGTTAATATGTAAACACGAATGGCATGAACAATACAATCCAAATCTCAATATTTCCCCTTTAATTTCTGCAAAAAGAGCAAAAGGGTTTACAGTTTGTAAAAAGAACGTCCTTAAATGTTAGTCACAAATCCCTATTCCTTACAGAAGCCTTTAAAGAGTCACAAAATACTCAAGCCAGCAATGCAATAATCTGCAAAGGAGGCTGTAACAGGGTAGGAAATTAAGAATTACAGCTGGTTTATGATCCATCTCTGAAGTGCCCTTGGCTATCTACAATTATATATCATAATTCTTACTTGCCACTGGATAAGGTTTATTTCTTCCCCTTTGGTAGGGTGCAGAACCTGGACAGAAGATAATACAAGAGTCCAGAATTATTTGTGTCAAAATTCAGCATTAACACTCTTTAGACTCACTCATGCTGCCCTCAGAAGCACCCAATGGATCTGAGTCATTTAATAAGTGTTCAGTGACCTTTTCTCACCTGTGTTGGCAATCATTTATTTCTTCCAGTTTTATGAAATACATCTAGGGGCATTCTCCCTGTACTCTCAAATTACAAATCACTTCAGGAACACAGACAGAAAATGCTCACAACACTCTGCCTTCAACCCACTCAACCCAAAACAAAAAAAGCAAGGTAGTAGGTGTTGCAGGCAGTGGCAAAGCCTGACAAGTGCAGACTGTGACAGAAAGCACCCCTATACTGCAGCTCCTCAGGTAATATCCTGCCTGTCAACAGCCCCTACATCCTTGCCCTCTACTCAAGAGACCAGGACCAAAATCATTTAAAGATTAAAGCAGCATCTCAGCTTCCCTATGGACTGCACAACACGCAAGTGCAGCGCATTAAAAGCTGAATCCAGCGTTCCCAGTCACGACTTACAAGTGCTGCAGCATCATGCATTAATTCCAACACAGAACACTGGGCTGGTCCCAAAGCACAGCCTCACAACTGTGCAACAGCACCCTGAGGACAAACAGACCTTTCTAAAACTATCCTGCAGCAGGGAATGGCTGTGTCTCCCAGCCAATCAGAAAAACACTTTATTGAAAGAAAAGAAAACCATTATAGCAAGTGAAACAAAAGGCAGCAAAGTGACCAGAAGCCCTTGAGTATAAGCAGCTCCACCATTCACAGCAGTGAGAAGAAAGCCTTAAGGAGATACTTTACAGTGACAATCCACTGCATTCTGTCAATGATAATGCACAAACTCTGTCACACTGACTGGGGGATGTGCTGCATGCAACCCCAACAAGCCCAGACACAGTGAAATGCTTGGATGGTCGTGCATGTGCACCATACCCACGACCAGAAAGAAATACACCATAAAAAGCCAGTACTGGATAAAAAAATAGGACTACAGGAATCTATAAGAAACAAATTACAAACCTCTAATAAATCTCACAGGTCTTGGGAAGAGGAATTTTGTTTTAGTGTCACAACCACAGGGCACAGTCAACATTCTCACAAATAACAAACCATATGTTTACCATATTTTTAGTAAGAGAGTAGCAGCTATAATTTGGCTTTTTTATTTTCATACCCAGTTTCAGAAAAGTGCTTAGACTAGCACAGAAAGAGAAAGAATATCCATAAAAAGAGAGAGAATAAAGGCAAGACTTTATCAGCATGCATATTTAACTGGGAAAAGGGGAAGAGAAGGAGAAGGGGGAAGAATCCTTTCCCATTTCAGGGGCTGCAGAGCCAGCAGAGCTTTCAGCTGCACAACCCCACCCGGGGGGGCTCCAGGAGGCTGAAGGCCCTGGGCTGACTGCCAGGCATGTCTGCCCCACTTATCAGTGCAAACGCCAGACAGACCATGCAACAGAACTTCTCAGTTTTAACTGTTGAGACATCAAGGTTTTATTTGGAAAGAAGCCAGAGACTTGAAATCTTAAATTATAACATGTTTTAAAAGCTTTTTCATACATGGAGAAGCAACACTTTAGAAGAGCTAGACAGAACCACAAGTAATTACTAAACAAGGTCACCAGTAGCTGTCAGGAAGATTTTAAGATGGCTCCCACTACAAGAATTTCCCAGGCAAGCAAGCCCTCTGGAAGAGGCAGTTCATAAGAGTTCATCCAAGGATGACCCATTTTCTAATCACAGCAGCAACTGAACACAGAAGTGTAAAAGGAAAATAAATAAATTAAGGCTACAATCCCCTGTGGAAGAGACTGAAAGCTGGGAAACAGAAGTCATATTCAAGAGAAACAGAAATGCAATTTATGTAAACTGATGTCTGCATGTTATTAACAAGTTTGAACATAAACAAACATAAAACAAGTGCTCTAGAGAACCTGATGGAAATCAGGGGAGCACACAGCAGGCAAGCACTGATCAGAATTAGTGCTTCTGTGCCAAAACCATTTGCTCTGCACTTACAGATTTGTACACTTAGGCCACTGAGATAGTGAAGAGGCCTTAAACTCTCAGCTTTATAATGACATTCAGTTTGTGTCCAATGATTTCTAAAGCACAAATAAACAGTTTTGGATTTAATATTTACAGAACTTATTTTGCTGTTTGTATAACATTAGCAGCTACCAGTGGTTTCCAGTATGCTAATCATCCACCAAAATGGAGAAGTGCATGAGGTAGACAAATAAGCTGGAAAAAACCCCAAGGGTTGCCATAGTTTCAATTATTTTCCAAAACAAAGCACTCTCACTAAGCAGATTCCAATATATTAAAAGCACAGAGCCCTAATCTCTTAAAAGCAGGTTGCACAGAGGGCAAAATAAAGACTGCAGGATGAGGGAGG